ATTATGGGTCACTATTTGAGGTAGTAATAATAAACAACCCTGTGTCTATCCAAACAGGGAAAGCATTATATATATGAACCATCCATTTCACTCAGGGAACTCAGTATTCAACATACTGTTCTCTAGATTATGACAGTTACTGTCTAACCATTAGTGGTTAAGTACCACCTTCAATACTGTACTAAGAGCTTTACATGTATCATTTCAATCATCCAAACTATGCTATGAACATGCCCAGTTCAACATGCCCATTTCTCAGTTGAAACTGGGACAAGCAGCCTTTGAGTTGGCCCAAGGTTACAGGATTAACGAATGGATCAAGCTGCTGGGATTCAAATTCAAGTGATCAGGCTCCCTATCTTGTATCCTGAAATATACGACGTGCGTGTGTGTGGTAATATTAGACGTACAATATCCAATCATGTCAAGAGCTGGAAAAATGACTGTTTCCTCATTTTATAGACCATAAATCATACAGAACACTTAGGCACAGGAAGTTGGCTATAAAAGAACAAAGAATTTGGTTCTAATACTGCTCTTTCTACCCTCATATCCTTTCTCAAATCTCTTAATTTTTTCTGATTTTAATCTTCCTCTAGAGATAACAGGGCCAAGAGTTGTAACGCCCTTTGCTTTATAAAGGTTAACAGCAGTAGCAATAGAGGCTCTTTCACACATTAAGAAATGTGTAATTTTGCTTATTTAATGGATTTCCATTAAATGCCTGTCAGAAAAACAGCTGAGTTGATTACTGATCATACTAGGTTTCCCTATTGACAAACTAATTATAGATGTATTTTACGAGACTGAAGAGCACAGATTTAGAAGGGCACTTGGAGATTTATAATTTAAATTAGGAAACTGACAGTAACATAGAATGTGAACTGGAATTCAAATTTCCTGACTCTTAGCCATACTATCATCAAATGTTTTTTATTAGTAGCATCACATAAAACATACTCAAATTTTTTTTTTTTTTTTTTGAGGTGGAGTCGCGCACTGTTGCCCGGGCTGGAGTGCAGTGGCGCGATCTCAGCTCACTGCAACCTCCACCTTCTGGGTTCAAGTGATTCTCCTGCCTCAGCCTCCTGAGTAACTGGGATTTCAGGAGCCCGCCACCAGACCCGGCTAATTTTTTGTATTTTTAGGAGAGACGGGGTTTTACCACGTTGGCCAGGCTGGTCTCAAACTCCTGACCTCGTGATTCGCCCACCTTGGCTTCTCAAAGTGCTGGGATTACAGACATGATCCACCACGCCTGGCCCACACTCAAGATTTGAAGGTTATATTTATAAAGGCAGTCAGCATAGATATATAATTTAAATCATCAAACAGCTTTGTTCCTTAATCAAAAGAACATCTTCATCAGTTAGTTTCACCAATTTGGTGTTAAGACAGATCTTTTTGTATTATGTATATATGAATCGCAAAAAATATTATCGTATATACGTAAATTTTAAAAAGCTAAACTTAAAAGATGGACCATTCCTATCAAAACATACAAATGGGGCTGGGCATGGTGGCTCATGCCTATAATCCCGGCACTTTGGGAGGCCAAGAAGGGCACATCACTTCAGGTCAGGAGTTCGAGACCAGCCTGGCCAACATGATGAAATCCCGTCTCTAAAAAGAATACAAAAATTAGCTGGGCACGGTGGCGCACGCCTGTAACCGAGCTACTCGGGAGGAGGCTGAGGAAGGAGAATCCTTTGAACCTAGGAGGCGGACGCTGCAGTGAGCCGGGATTGCAACACTGCATGCCAGCCTGGACGACAGAGGCTCTGCCTCCAGGAAAAAAAAAAAAAAATGGGTAGTATGAGGTATAAATAAACAATTGTCTGATTTAAAGTAACTAATTCATGGAAGATGACGAAATAATTAGCAAGAGGAGGCTAGGGATCTGAAATTTTCTCTGAATTCATAGCTGATGTCTAATGATTATAATACAACCACTCTCCATCCATTTCTTCTTCACAGTAAGGTCTTTTTTTAAAATCACTTTTCTTCAGTCTAAAAAAAATTACCACAGACAATACTTTAGGAGTGGGTACTTCATCTCTAAATCAACAAGGTTGAACATAGCGTACAATCAGAAATGAATATGTTGGCAGGAATCAAGAGAGTACAAATACGAAACAATGTTTTTTGCACTGAGGATAGGTCGAAGTAAATTTTACCTCCATTACTTTGCTATTATGTATGGAGAGACCTATTGTTCTCAGAACCCACTCATCCATATACAACTAATGAAATACCACGGAAATTTCCTTAAGAATGAGACTTGGCTCCAATGGCTTCCAACACGCAAGTGCAAATTTTGTGTGGGAAGATGGAGGTTAGCAGAATTAGCCATTACTTCTGGACTAAACCAGTATGGAAACTTAGTGCATGAGAGCAATTAATTTTTGAGACTCCCTTGGACCCTACAAAAACATTAACCAATAAACATTTTCCAGAGAGTCAATCATCACTACTCCATTTCCCAAGAACTTTGGAGGGAAAAATTACATCAAATGCAATTACCAATTTTAATTTACTTTTTATGACTTACTAGATTTAAAGGCGGCGATAGTGAAACATCTACCAACAAAATGCAATTCTACAATTTGGTTAAATATAAGAATCATGCCTCAGCCAATAAATAATATAACATACATCAAAAACAGTAAAATGTATACCTTTCCAGTCAAAGAGGCACTTAATCTGTCAGTACCAATCAATGTTGATAGTGAACATAATCTCTGAATGTCAAAATTCCCCAAGGACGAAAACATATTAAGTATTTCTATATTTAATAGGGGGATAAAAACAGTTTTTGTTACTAACAGGTCAGATCAAAAGCAGCTAACTTAAAACCTTAGATTATTCAAACTGGGTAGCAAGATTTTTCTTTTTTATAGTAGTAAAAGTACTCTACACCTATCTTCAAATTCCAGCTCCACCACTTATTAGTTGTGTCATCTGGGGCAAGTTACCTAACTTCTCAGTACTTTAGTCTCATCTGTAAAATGGGAATAGTACCTACCACAAAACACTGTTGAGATTTAGTCAATGTATGTAAATTGCTTAGAACAATGCCCACAACTTATTAGGCACTATACAAGTGTTTGCCAATATTATTACTCAATTACAATGGCAGTTATTTTGGATGTCATACTATTGGCAAGACCAAAGAAAGAACTTTGAGTCAACAAGTTATACTTCCATAGTAATAACCTTTAAGTTATTAAAATATTTAAGTACTAATCTTAAATTTCACTGGAAAAGCACAGTCACAAGAAAAGGTCTGCCGTATTAAAACATGAATGCAACAGAACCTTTGATACTGAAAAGTTCAAGCAGACATACCTACTGAAAACCATCTAATATTCTTGATTAAAAGACTCAGCTGACCACAACTAGTAATACCTAGCCGAATCCTATACAAAGTGGTATCTTTACCTTTAGAGCCTTCCAAGAGATGGCGTTGCGATGAAGAGTATGAAGAGTAAAACTAGCAGCACCTGTACTGTTTATGATGAATTTTTTTTTAAAGTTGAATTTATGTATTGAATTCTATCACCAACTACTAACTTCTCTCAGCTTGAACAAGATAAAATTCACGGTGGTAAAATAGCTGCTTATTTAATTTTTTAAAGTTCTATTTAAATCGCTATTTTAGCTATTTTACTATTTGAACAGCTGGTGTTCAGGGTATAAATAATTACACAAGTTAAAAATTGCTCATTTTCACTAATCATGAAAAAGCCCACTGCGATATATTTTCCTCACAACTTTTGTCTCTCAAGTAAAAATGGAAAATACAAGTTTTACCCAAGAGGTACAAGACTATGGGGGACAACAGCAAGGTTTGTATTTCCTAATCCCTCAATTATTTCCACTTTTAGTGTGTTCAACTGAAGTCTATTTTACAACAATCTCTGGGTTTTATTTAAAAAACACACAAACACAGTGCCTTTCCAGTTCCTACTGCCTTCCCACATTTCAAACAAAATTTTAAGTTTCTAGGCCAATTTTCTGGTCCTAACAGTTAAAAAAATATATATATCGTGGTTTGTCCATATTCTTAGGCACTTAAACCTTAAAAAAAAAAAAGACTCCAACCGACTTTTATCAAGCTGTGAAGAAAAAAATTGTTCCACCTCCTACCTCATAACCAGAGCCCATTTGAATGTACTTCCAACCTATTCTCTACCAACTGATTACACTGGGAACTTTTCTCATATAGACTATAATCATACATCTCAAATCTTAACTAAATACACCAAAAAAACTGACAGTCTTGACCTTTAAAAGTATCTTTCTGAACCCTAAACTACATTAACTCAAAAGATATTTCTAGAAACATTCTTCATGCTAACTTCCAAAGGTTAACTTCATCTTTGTCAACACGGTTTCTCACACCAAGTATTTTCTTGGCTTTGCCATTCAAACAGAAATGAACTTTATTTGTACTTTCCCAATAGAAGGCTCAAACAATTCCAGTAGTGCAAATGGAACTGGTGATGCTTATGGAAAGTCACTGTAAGGCTACAGCCAAGATTCTATAATCAAATAAATGGAAAAGCTTTCTATACGGGAAAAAACCAAATCCTATTATTTTCTAAAGTAAATAATGAAAACCTAACCACACAGTAGGGCAAAAAGGAAGTTGTCTAAATCCAGAATATCCAAAATTTACTGGACAGTTAAAAAATTATACCCCAATAACAAAAAACAATACTAATTTTTATGTCCATTAGGAATTCTGACTCCATATTAACAATATGGCATTAAGATTTTTTAAAGGCACAAGTAATTAATGTAACTGTTTCCATATGGGTTCCAAAAACTAAGACTAGACTTTTTTCTAATCTGAAGTTCTACCATCTAGAAGACCAACTTGGTGACTCTTGAGGATAAGGTAACTTCTCATTATCTTTTTCCATTGGGAAATTACTGCGCCAAGAACCTACCTTGCCATTCTTTTCAAATATAAGAAAAACAATACTAAATTCAAATTTAAAGAGAGAGAGACCTATTTAACGCTTCAAAAACAAGGGGGAAAAAACTAAATGGAAATGAAGTGTGATGGAAAATAGCAGTGTGCATGGATCACATCTACTAATAGAGATTTCTAAATAAGGGAGGACGCTGACATCAAGCACATTTCAAGTAGACACACAGAGCTGAAGAATTTCCACGGGGAGAAGCACTCATGGTCCTCAGAACATTGGCAATGGCCTTGGAGAAAGCCCCAGAATCCATGGCCACGGGCTATTTCCATAGCGAGACTTCTCAGAAGCATCCTTAGGAGGACACAACAGCTTCTCTGCCTTCGGGGGCTGGGAGGGAGGGGCGCCGAGCACCATCTTTCCTCTCTGGGAGCTGCAGCCTTACGGACAAGCTTCAAACCTGAGCTACTTCCAACTTCCGCGGGGAGGGGCAGCAGGGGAGCGTGGTTCCACCGCTTTCTCTCGCACCAAGCGCGGCAGCTGGGCGGCCGGGGCGGTGAGGGGAGAGGCGGCCGGCGCTGCATGCGTGTTTACGTATCTCAGATGGGTGTGGGAAGAGAAGATAGAAAGGTTCTAATGAAAAGATGGAGGGGAGAGAGAGAGGGGGTTGAGAAGAAGGGGAGGCACCACCTTTCTTTTCTCTGCTCTTCCTGGGGATCTGAAAACTCCTCCTAAGAGGCCTTTCGGGCTCTTCGGGGCCTCTGAGCAGGGCGGCCGCGCCCGCCTCAGAGGAGTCCTGAGGCTGCTCGTGGCTGAAGCTCTGGGCGGCCTCGGCCCCCGCGGTCTCCTCAGGCCCAGCGCCGCCGCCGGGCTCAGCGATGTTGAGGCCGCCGCCGCCGCCATTTTGTGGGGAGGACTCAAGCTCCGGAAGCGCCTGCTTCATCTCGTCGTCTCCGCCGCCGCCACTTTCACAGCTCGCATCCGTCGGCTGCGAGGCCTCCGTCTCCACAGCAGTCGCCATCGCGCCGGCGTAAGGAGCTCTGGGAAGCTTCTGCCCACAAGGTCGACGGGTGTGGGGGGAAGGGGCGGCGGGCCAGCCTCGCCGCCGAACTGCTCTCAGCCCACCCACCCCCTTCCCCCCGTGGTCTCAGGCTGCACTCCGACCCGGCAGCCTCTTGGGGGCCCCGAAGCGGGCACCCCAACTGTGCTGCCCGGCCCTCGGAGCCGCTCCTCGCTCGGGCAGTTCTTCTGCCTTCCCCCGCCACTCAACGTGCGCGCGTCGGGGCCGGGAGAGGGCGGGGCCACCGCGGGCCACTCTACCAATGGGAGCGCGGCACCCGCCTCCGCGAGTGCGGATATGCCGCGCCGGGGGGCGGAGTTTTGAGGCGCCCGAGCCCGCCAAAAGGGGCGACTGCCACGCCCGGCGAGGGCCTCGACGCCGCAGCCGTGGCCTGCAGAATGTGTGGGCCCTTGGCGATTCTCGGGTTCCTGGCAATGCCGCGCTGGCGATCCTCGGGTTCCCGGGGATCCCCCGCCGCGCTGCAGGCGAGGGAGACGGGCTTGGCCTTGTCTCCGGAGCGCAGGGGTGGCCCATTTGTGGGCGAGAACTTTCCTCAGTGTACGAGTTATCTCGGCCCAAACGGGCTTCAGCGCATGGATGCGGGACGATCTCGGCTTTATGAACTATTTGCATGTGTACAGAGACCTGGAGAGGAAATAAGAGAATGGGCTACGCAATAATAGCCTAAAAGCGTCCGGCCTCTGCGACCTGCTGTTCTCACCGGATCTTGTATCTTTATGATAGATGACTCGCACCCGGCCTTCTCTTTTATCTCAGAGGGTGTGACCCAGTGTCACAGCGCCAGCAAGCACTTTAACCTGAGATCCTCTGATGGTACTTAACAACCTAGTGTTAACAGGATTTGGTTCTGGGGAGTTTGAGAGGAGGAGGCTGTTAACTTTTACCATTTTTCTTTGGTCGCACCCCCCCTCCACGTTTTCCTATATTAAATGTATATTAAAGAAAAAATAAACTTGCGGTTACATTAAAAAATATACAGCAGTGGTCGTTGTCCCATAAAGGGAATAACTTCATAGTGAAGAACCGTTTGCATAGTAATTTCTACCTTGTCAGTATAAACTATCATGGGTTATCGTGAGTACAGCCAATATTTACTGAGTGCTTTCTATGTGCTAGACACTGACTGGACAAGTGATTTACGTGCATTATCTCCATTTAATCTTCACAGCAACGGATATGAGGGAGATACTGTTTTGCACAATTTAAAATAAGCGTTGCAAGACGGGACAAATTATGGTAACAAAACCAAGATTTGAAACCAGGTCTATTTAACTCTCCCAGTAAGTACTTAAGCACTGCACTGACTGCTTCTCTAAGACCTAATTTTCACAGCAGCTGTGCACTTTTTTTCATTTTATGCACGAAACGACAGAGGGCTGACATTTTGCTGAGGGTCGCCAAGCAGCAGGATCAGGTTTGAGACCCAGATCTCTAATCCCAAACTACCTCCCAAGGAGTTTACAGACCAAATTATTCATAATAAAGCCTCAGGCTTAAAGAGCATTCCCAAGGGCAACACGAAAGTTGGATTCCTTTGTCCTCTAATAAATATTACCACTGTTTAACAGCTGATATTTAAAAAAATCATGAATTGCCAACCTATTGGAATCAATTTAGTAAATCATACGAAAGAGTGTAAATCCATTATTAGTGAATAGTTTAAAAACACATTTTAGGCCAGGCGCAGTGGCTTATGCCTGTAATCCCAGCACTTTGGGAGGCCGAGGCGGGCGGGTCACCTGAGGTCAGGGGTTCCAGATCAGTCTGGCCAACAGTGAAACCCCATCTCTACTAAAAATACAAAAATTAGCCGGGCATGGTAGCACATGCCTGTAATCCCAGCTACTCAGGAGGCTGAGGCATGATAATCACTTGAACCCGGGAGGCGGAAGTTGCACTGACCTGAGATGGCACCATTGCACTCCACCCTGGGCTGAGACTTTGTCTCAAAACATACACACACATTTTAAAATATGTTTAAATGAAAAACTGAGGTCTAGGTTGAGGGAAAAATGCTACATTATTTTAAGTAAATTTTTTTTAATTGGGGGAGGCGCTTTACTTGATTTAAAAAAGAGTACAGAAGATCAGAAATTCACATTGCAGTCCCAAATTGGTAACTCGCTTTTTTGTTGATTCATTGAAGGTATACCTAAAAGCTCATTTTTATCAAATTCAAAACTAAGAACTAATTGCAGCCAGGTGTGGCTCACGTCAAAATCCCACTTTGGGAGGTACTTGAGCCCAGGAGTTCAAGACCAGCCTGGGCAATACAGTGAGACCCTGTCTCTATTAAAACAAACAAAACAACTAATTGCATACTAATGCCACCACTCATCCACTCAAGAAAAGGCAACTCTACTTGGAAGCTCCTAGGCTATGCATAAAGCACCACAGGTTGTTAGTAAAGAGTACCTAAAACTAAGGCTAGACAGAATCATTAGCCCTCCACAGAGGTTGAATCTTAAATTTTGTGAAGATAAAAATTGCTTCCCATTCCAAATCAACATTTATTAAAAAAAAAAAAAAAAAAGTTTAGTGAAATTTGGCTGGGTGTGGTGACTGACACCTGTCATCCCAGCACTTTGGGAGTCAAGGGTGGAGGATCACTTGAGCCTAGGAGTTCAAGACCAGCCTTCACAATATGGTGAGACTCTGTCTCTGTTTTTAAAAACAATAATAATAATCCCAGCACTTTGGGAGGCTGAGGCAGGTGGACTTGAGGTCAGGAGTTTGAGATCAGCCTGGCCACCATGGTAAAACCCTGTCTCTACTAAAAATACAAAAGTTAAGGCCGGGGGCAGTGGCTCACGCTTGTAATCCCAGCACTTTGAGAGGCCGAGGCGGGCAGATCACGAGGTCAGGAGTTCGAGACCAGCCTGGCCAACACAGTGAAACCCCGTCTCTACTAAAAATACAAAAATTAGCTGGGCATGGGGGCGGGTACCTGTAATCCCAACTACTCAGGAGGCTGAGGCAGGAGAATCGCTTAAACTCAGGAGGCAGAGGTTGCAGTGAGCTGAGATCGTGCCACTGCACTCCAGCCTGGGC